AAATGGAAATGCGATAGTGAAAATTACTAGCTAGCTTTGGTCAAAATGGCTCTCGGTGCGCGGTTGTCCTTACGGTATAGTTTTTCGAGTAGGATAGGGGGCCGCTCGGCTTGCAATTGCAGACCTACGTCCGCTTGCGGCTGACCTACGCAGCACCAATCTAGTACGCGTTGACCTCGGACACTCAGCGCAGGAGGTTGCAGGCCCAGCAAAATCTTGCGCTTCGGGTGATCGTGCGAGCTGGTCGTTACGTCAGGAATGACGTTATTTTGAGAGATCTTAAGATCGAATCCATCCAACAGTTCGTGACCCGTACTGCGAGACGGTTGTTCGACCGCGCAGATAACAGTCCACACCCACACCTTCAAAACTTAGCACCGCTCCATGCTGGCCTATCTGACGGGCGACCACTCCCACGTGAACTACGCCTATGATCCTACGCCCACCGCCCGGCACAGGGGACGCCGGGGACGAGTGAGCGTCCCGACACCTGATTAGATGGTGTGAAGTGCGCAGTACACCAACCTATAGGCTGCAAACGCAGCACCCAGGACCGGGGGGTCGTGTCCCCCTGATGCCGCCTCGACACATGAAAACCTCCAAACAAGGAGAAGAACCACCACTTGCAATTGCAATTCGTTCGGGACCAGCAATAGTTTCGTGAATATAATCAAGACAGAAAATAAGTGAAATTATCGCATTTCCAAGGCAATTTTATTGAAAAATTAAAGATCTTTCTGTGTTCACCCTAATAGTAGGGTAAAGAAGTATACAATCCACATAGGCACATACGACAGGCGTCATGACCGGGACCATTTCCATAGGGGGCACGTCATCTTAGAAAGGGTTGGCCCCTTTCTTTAACGAAACGGGGTTGTGAACGGAATCGAACGTCTTCATCTAGGGTCACCCCCACCTCGTTGTCCCGAACCCAGCAGGGTGTGGTATTGGTCTGTGAATAGAAGGTCAATAGTTGGTTGATCCTTGATCGTGGGCTCAAGACCCGTATGCCCACTGAAGTTTTATTTGGACCTTCGCAGTCGGATTAAGTGGAGGCCAGTTTTAGTTGGTCTATGGATTAGGAGGCCATCATTGGAAGGGGATCCACAACCTATCGTTCTAATAATACTTGTTGAAAGTATTTTTTTTATTTACCACTGGTTCGGGAAATACCTCTGTCCTCAGAAGAACCTGCAAGAAACCCAGCAGGACTTTTTATATATTTCACTACAGTAATTTTGTTTGTACAATTTTTAAATGCATTTTAATAGAATCAGCATGGTGGCGATCACCTCACTCTCAGGGGTTATTTTCTGCCGACTTCCAAAAAGGAGACGGTACTCAATTCGACTGTATGTTTTTTTTATGTGTTGCCTCATAACTTTTTACTGGTTGAACCGATTTCGATGATTCTTTTTTTATATGAAAGTCCCATATGAATTTGATCAAGGTCAGACAAATAGTTTTTGAGTTATTCTTAATAACTTATATTGAAGTCGGCTGTACAACATGTTTAATTTTAAATTATCGTTTATGTATTCTTTGATATTATTTGTACAATTTTTCTTTAATTCATTTCATTTTATCCACTCTCCCTTATATTATCCCTTATTATATTGGTGACGCTCACCCGGGAGGGATCCCGGGTGAGCGTCACCAATATAATAGTATAATTACCAAAAAAGCTAATATTTTGTCGCTAATCGCAAAAAAAAGCAGTGGCTTTCCATAGTAGGAAAATAAGAGCTATACTTATTTTTGAGATATAAGGTTTACCGTATTTATCTTCCTACGTACTGGACAATCGCAATTAAATTGCAATTACTTACTACTTATATCTGCAACCGCAACTTTCTGTTGCCATAAACAAACAATTACCGTATTTTTTTTGGTTCATTTTTATGTGTCATCTTTACGCACAATAACTTGGACGTTTAATAGACTTTTTAAATTTGTCAAGGCTACATTCGCGTCTAGTAAATTTATTTTATTTATGTTTACTAACCTAACACTGAGTTGCGCACCTTTGACAACATAGTTTCTTTGTGTTGGTTTATTTAAGTATAGTTATAGCACATAAGTAAAGAAAGTTACCAGAGACAAAGCTTCATACAACCTCGCTATAATAGGCACACTACTACAAGCTTGAGGCGCGTGTTTGCGTGAGCACTGGCGGCTCGTCACAGTACATACAGAGATCAGAGATAAACTGTTTAAATTGGCTCGGCCAGTGCTCAAACTCAGGGTGTACACGTCCGTCGTCACACGTATCGTTCTTGAAATGAAATGCTTTAAATAAAAATTCATTTTTAAATCTCTACAATTTATTTCCACAATTCTTAAATAATTAAAACTTTGTAGATTGTAGTCACCCTACTTCTATGAGATTACAGCTTATTGGTATAATAATTACACCTAATAATGTTTAAGTTTTAATTTCTAAATATACTACTATTAAATAAAATTATTATACGTAAACATATGATTTATGGAAAAGACAAGGAGTCTCCCTTAACCTTTTATAATTAGGTAATAACCAAAATGATAGAGGCAACAAAAATAAAAAGCAACTACAATTTATTTTATTGTTTTTATCGCAGAAATAGTAAAACATACTCTGTATTTTACTCGCTGTATTTTTTAAAATTATAACCAAGCTGTCATTAATATAAAGAAATGGACAGGAATTAGGTCTTTCTCATGCTGTTTAAAATATTAATATTATTATTAATTAAAAAAAAATTTTTGAAGTTTAACGGAATGTGGAAAAATCCTTAAAGTATTACGAAATATTGAAATAAATCTTAAATTACAAAATAATACTATTATAATTTACCGTCTTACATTACTGAAAAAGTCAATTCGCGAATCGAAACAACAATTAAACCATTTAGTACTAAATTATATCATAATTAATATATTATATTGCTTATTTTATGTACACCGTCATGTTTCAACATTTAGTTATAAAGGAGTGATGTATTGAATGAGTTTACTAAATATGGCAAGATGACTTAAATAAACCTTACATCTAAACGACTTACATATAACGTAAACAATATAAAGTTTTTTCAATATTGCTAATAATGTATTGCTTGCTTCAATAAGGATGCAAAATCCTCTTACCTACCTTAAACAACTTTGTGAAAAAGATATAATATATGATTCGAGAACTTATTTTTCGACGATGACATCGACGCAACAAAACAACAATTCCGGATTTATCTATGATGGCAACAAAAAGAAACGTAAACAAAACACCTTACATAGCCCTTAAAACAAATTAATTAAATATTTCATTCTCTAATTCTAATTAAGTACTGGCTTGGAATGTATAAAACTGTTTCGGAATTCGATATGATTAAATAAAACAATGTATATATGCACTGGGAATCAAAATAAAATATAGATTTTTTAATTTTACGAAAAAAATATCATACTATCCCAAACATGTTATTTTACAATACTTTATAATACAAACAAAAAAAAAACAATAATACTTGAAATTTTAGCAAACGCAAAATTTAAAAATACCTAATGAGTATTTTTGATTTAATGTTATAAATAATATATGATGTGTTTACAAGATAAAATTTCAGGAATTGTCGATAATTACATCTTAAAAAAAGAATTAAAGACGATACATATTACGTTCTTAAATAAATCAAAAGTTACGAATTAGTAGGTACTGTACAATACATTCAAGTGTATAACTAAATTCGTGTTCTGTAGTGATTTTTTAAAAAAAAGTAAAAAATATAGCTACCACCAAGTTTAAAAAATCATAAAGCTATATAATAAAATGTTTTCCTTCAAAATTATATTTTAATAATTATAAATAATGATATACTTAAAAACCTTAATGCATAAAAATTGTAAATATTTCCTACATTTAATAATTTTTGATTGTATCATTTTGTAGGGCGTCCCCCCACTAGATGGAGTGACGACCTGGTAAGATATGCAGGAAGTTGATGGATGCAGGTGGCTCAGGACCGTGATTTGTGGCATTGTTTGGGGGAGGCCTATGTTCAGCAGTGGACTTGTGAAGGGCTGTTATGATGATGATCATTTTGTAACGAGAGATCTTAAAATTATTGTAATGTCTCAGAATGTTCTACTTATTATTTATTACTACGCATATTTTTCTATTAAGTAATCAAAATATAATTTTAAAGGTCAGTTTTATATAATACATTACTTAAGTTATAAAAGCGTGTACATACATACGTGAAAACATTTATTGTACTGTTAAATTAAATGATGAGTTGCGTCGCATACTAGAACAGTTAACTGATATAATGTATATTAATCATCTGTAACTATAACGTAACCTCGAAATAGACTGTTTATGTTCTGGACCGACAAAGAAAGATAGATAGAACACTAAATACATTTCAAGTGACGCCGCAACCATGCTCTACTTTTTCTTCTTTCTTTAGTATTTTTCTCCTTTCTTTCGTTATCAGCCCGTAAATGTAGGTAAAAAAACTGCTGCACACACCATGTTGTGAGTTGCAAATGACTTTAGAAATGATTTTAGATGCATATGTATGCGTGAGAGCGTGTTCTTATAATAAGTTGAGCATGGTTATTTATTTCACTTGTAATGTACGTAGTGTCCTACCTTTCTTTGTTGATCTGAGTGAGAGGTTCTTATTCAATATTCTCTTTTAAGTTCTGCCACAAATAAAGAGTTATTCAAAACTTTAATATTCTTTGCTTAGCGTTTATTAAATAAAAAAGAGAGTGTGCAAGGAAAAGAGAGAGAGAGAGAGAGACATGCTCTTAAATTCTAAGTGAGTTTTAGATTATCGAATGTATAAAACAAAACATAACATTTATTTATTCGATTTGGTCAGTTACCTTGACCATCGTATTCCTATATATTAATTAAATAGTTCAAAATATTTGACAAGGAACTGCTTCCTTATTTTAAAGCTAATTTAGGAATGGACAGCAGTCTAAACTGGTACAGAAATATACAGATACGTAAGTTTCAATTATTTGTATTTAATACATATAAAAGGACGGATACAGTGATGTTAATTGCACTTATGGAATGTAATACATAGATTCTAGTAGTTTACCTATAATTAAAATTAGATAAGACCAATGCATGTGAATGCGTAAAATATTAATAACTCCCTTAATTGGAGAATGTAAAATTAAATATTGTTTAAATTTTACCAATACCCCCGTTCTTATGTATATATCGTATTTTTACTACAATAGATTCAATTACAGATTAAATAAATTTTTATTAATGCTCCCTTTTTGTTATAGTATGAATTTGAAAATATAAACAATCAAAAATTTATAAATTCCCTAATTGTATGTATATTATTCATAAGTAAGTGCAGAGTGATCTAGATCAATGGTTTCTTTCACTGCGATAGGATTTCAAGTTATTGTAATTATTGCTTAAGGTAATGCTTAATTGTTACGACAATCTCTATAAATATGAATGTTGTACTCGACAAACGGTATCTTTTGTTCAGAACTCAGGTAGCACAGGTCCTGTAAAATAAATAAACACAATTATTTATGTTAACGTTTATTATTTTTACTAAAAATATATTAATACATTCTTATTTAATTTTACCAAAAACCCTTACCCTACACTAGGATTTTCTCCTGTACCGTGAAGACTTAGCCTAAGTAAACGCTGTATGCAACGCACTCTGGCTAGATGGAACGAAACCGAAGATCGGGCTAAATGACACGCCCTGTGAGAGGTTTATGTACTGTCACATAATGGTGATGATAGATAATGATGAAGGAAGATAAAATTGCAAAAATCTAGACCCGGAACAATTATTTGTAAGACGTAGAACTATTTGTCCGTGCAGAATTCGAAATCACGGTCAAGCAGCGCTACAGCTAACCACTTAGACACTGCGCTACCCAACCCTTTTAGTGGTACAGTGTTCAATGCTACATGGACGTGTGGTAGCAGCGTAAAGGTGTTCATAAGCCGGCTTTAAAAATTGCATCTTGCCATAAATATTGTTGAGAACAATAGGTGATCGACATCGCCGGCGATACTTCTGTTCCAATTTTATTGCGCAATATTTTGCGAAGTATATTCCGTCAATGTTGTTTACATTGTTTCGCCGTGCCATAAAGTTAACCCATGTACGAGCGCTTTCTGAGAATTATTCTTCACTCAATTTCGTCTAGGGAACTTATAAAGACGGTGGTTTTAAATTATAAAAATGTATGATGTTAAATACTAAGCAATAGGGAGCAAATTCGAAGGTATTAGTTGTTTAGTTACTATACTACGTAAAGTTAGTATGGTATTAGTATATAGAGAAGTCTTATGTCTATGTTAAGTAGGATATGTCCAGATGTAAGCTGTTTATGGCCAACCTTTTATGGGCACACTGTACACTTAATTTTTTCTCTGAAAGAGCCTTGCGCGTCCTTAACAATAAAATGAATTTCATTACTGGACGTGTATTATGGGTACGATACTTTGTTAATACGTTCTCACGAGCGTAGTTGTGACTACCATGTTCCTTTCTGAGCCGTGGTAGTGGGCTAAGATCTTATGGCGAAATATCTTTATATATAAAATTCTCTGTCCATGTGTATGTCACTAACTCCTCCTAAACGGCTGGACCGATTATGATGAAATGTGATTAAGTTGATTCCAGAATGGTTTAGATTCACAATTGGACCCGGTAGGAGGCGCTGTTGTCGAAATCCAGAAATCACCCGTGCGAAGGCGGGGCGGATCGCTAGTATATTGTTATGAAAAATTGCCATGCCATGGCTGCGTAAGAGAATCCATCACCACATTTCGTCTCGTGGGTATGGTAAGAGGTGATTATGGGAATTGAATTCCGGAAGATGGTGCTTTAACCATCCCGTAAATACCTAGTCCGGTGACGGGGAGCAGCGTTAGAGGTGCGAGACGTCTGGTACTGCAATCGTCAATTTGCCGTCCAAACGTGACGAATAAAGCAAATTATTCCTGCAACGAGAGAGACCCATGTCCAGTGGTGGATTTTTATGGGCTGATGATGATGAAAAGAAGAGAGTTTTGACTAAGGTGTCGGCAGAACAATAGTGCTGCGGCAATATTACTGTAGCTAATGATCATTCCGATGCTGCTCCAATATGCTGTTGAACAAATAATATTTTTTGTCTTTTGTTTCTTGTGATGTACGGGTAAAAATAATTTATTGAAATTAATATTTGCTTTTGAAGTTTTTTTTACGTAAGCAACCTAAGGGGTAGGGTTGTCTAACAGTAGGGCGAGGATGGAGGGTATTCGATATGAGCAATCTTACACATTAGATACCAATTTCAGATAATTTTAGGTTTTGCAATTCCTGCGAAGAACATTCGGCCATGTGTCTGATGCGATTGTAGCGAATTTGATACCCCTCCAAATAAAATTGCGATTATCAAATTTCTTGCCCAAAGTCAAACCGAACAAATTTCTCGCTCGGTCTCTTATTTTCTCTTGCATTTCTCTAATTAAAGCAAACTTACCTTCAACGGCGCGAAACCAGCTCGTATTTTCATATGCCGATCCATATTACAGTCCAGAGTCATCTTTGAGGTCCAAATGTCTCCTGAGGGAACAGGTTTGGCTATCTCTCGGTTAAGTTGACAGTTCTTTAAGGTATCGTACTTGCAGTGAAGGTCGCAGAGTCTAATCTCTTTCAGTTTTGAAGTTCTGTAATAAAAACAATGACGAATCATTATACGTTACATCCTTTAAAAATCCACTGCCTAACACAGATCTCACCAATAGATAGCCTCATAGGGTAGATTTTGCCATAGCTGCCACGCTTGGAGCGCGTGTTGGCAATCGCGGTTTTTTTTAATTTTGAGTTTTTATCACGAAGTTGCAGCTGCCCGTTTCCTGTTTCAGTTTCTCTCTCTGTAGCCTCTTACGACACCCACGGGACGATATGAAGGAGTGGATATACATTACGCCACTACACGTTTGGTACGGTGCGACAATTTAAAACTATTAATTTAATTTTTTTGTACGTGGTAGAGCCATGCTGCAGCTATATTAGTAGTATAGTTGTAGCGCGAATGGGTCGGCTCGACCGGGGAAGGACCACGCTCTCACAGAATACCAGCGTCAAATAGCAGCTTAACACTGCTGTGTTTCGTATGGTGAGTGTAGAGAACCGGAGACCCTTTTTACTGGAAAAGAGGCATTCCATCTTAGTCCTCACGGGAGACAACGCATCTGCATTTTGATTCACAAACGAGGATAAATGTAGATGGACCACAGCAGCCACTTACCATCAGGTGGACTGTGTGCTCGTTTGTCACCCTATTCTATATAAAAAAATTATGATAGTAATGTTTAAGAAAATATACAGGGTAACCCAAAGCCATAGTTAGTTTTTACTTTCGGCGTCAATAATCGTACTAACGTTGGTCTTATGATACATTTTTTTTGATATTTCGCTGTTCATATCTTCATTCAACTCCGTGTAATGGCGGTTAAGAATATTCACTACACCATATCTTCCCGTGGGTGTCGTAAGAGACGACAGTGGGAAACAGGCAGGAGATGGGCAGCAGCATCTCCCTGATAACAGCAACATTACAATAAAAAAATTGCGTTTGCCAACCCGCACGCCAGCGTGGTATCAATGGCAAAAATCCCCCCATGATGAAAGTTACGAAAAGACTGCCCCCAGTCCCCGACGGCTCCGCTATTCCTTGCTACGGTGGCGACCATGGTAACGGCGGGGAGGGGGTCCTAAATTTCTCCGGTGGAGCTTCGGTTGACACCTAAGACGACTCGACCTGGCCACATACAACGCACGCACCCTGAGGACTGAAGAGAAGATCCTGGAGCTGGAAGAAGAGATAGACAATTACTGCATTGGAAGAGATTCTTAGCACCCCTGCACCGCCGTTACCACGGTCGCCACCGTAGCTAGGAATAGCGGAGCCACCGGGCACTGGAGGCCGTCTCTTCGTAACTTTCATCATGGGGGGATTTCTGCCATAGTTGCCACGCTGGCGAGCGGATTGGCAACCGCAGTCTTTTTATTGTAATATTGCTGTTATCAGGAAGACGCTGCTGCCCATCTCCTGACTGTTTCCCACTGTCGCCTCTTACGACATCCACGGGAAGATATGGGGTAGGGGATATTCTTAACCGCCGCTACACGGTGAAGATATTACTATATATTATAATACCCCACTTACAATATATAACCCTCTTAGAAATGAGAGGTCTGTGCTACTTTTACTCGTTTAAGGCAGATAAAGTAATATCATGACTGTGGATTGTGTGCAATGTGCTCCAGTAATTTACCTATGCTAGTTATTTTAGAACTACAATAAGCAAATAAAACGTATGTCGGTCGGCTTGCGTAACCCATCCGAAGAAACGTAACTAAAATGAATCACCTGAAAGTGATGTCGACGTGCTTGTGATGTAGACAGTGGGACAAAGGGACGCTGTACGTATAGTTGTGCACGCCACGCCCGCAGACCGTCTCCGTAAACATCGACGCATTCAGCACCGACTTACTGGACAGGCCAACGCTCACGCTCTCGCACTCTGAAATCGATAAACGATAAATTTTTCACGAAATTATGCATATTTTATTATATTAAACTTTACAACAATATTTCCCGCAGTTGCTGAACGACTGGTATTTAATGCTTCTTACGTGGTAAGAGCCATGCTGCAGCTATATTATGGTTGTAGCACGATAGGTGATCTTATATAGTACATGACTAAAGGAACCGAATAGAGGCAAAGTTTCTAAGAAGCGTTTCTAAACTTTTACCTATTTCGGTGGGGTTGACACAGGAGCATAATAATATTACATAAAAACGTTTATCAGCTTTTTATTACGTAAGTATTTATAATAAAATATCTTTACAAATTGTTTTTGAATAATTTATTGTGCCTTTTAGTTGAATGGTAAATTTTAAATGTAATATAAAGTTTCCTTCTTAAATAATCTTAAAGAAATCACTCATATGGCATATACAAGGCACACGTTTCAAATAATGATTATTTCGAAATCAAAATTTTCGCGAAATTTTTGTTCAAGCAATTCATCAAATGCATGTATGAGATATCTATCTACCATATAAAAAAGAGTGAGTTTGAGCACTAGCCGAGCCGGTTTATATCAGTTTATCTCTGTAGATGAGCCATCACTGTTCACGCACACACGCGCCTAAAGCTTGTAGTACTAATCATAGTGCGGTTGTATGCAGCTTTGCCTCTGGTCGGGTTCTTTCCTTATGTGATAATAGGTCGGCTCGATCAAGAAAAGACGACGCTCTCACACAACACAAGGGTAAAATAGCAGCTTAGTGCTGTTGTGTTTAGCATGGTAAAGTGTAGAAAACCAGAGACCATTTTGACTGGAAACGAGGCATTTCATTTTAGTCAACTCAGGGGTGACAACGTATCTGCGCATGCTACATGGGCTACAGCATCCACTTACCATCAGGTGGACTGTGTGCTCATTTGTCACGCTTATTCTATAAATAAATATGGAAGAGTAGTAGTCACGCTGCAGCCGAATTGTGTAGTGTATTTAACTCTAGATAAAGTAATAAATATCACATTATATTTTGCTGAAAAGATTTAGTCTTTCGACTTACCTTGACCTAAAGGCACTTCATCTGACTGCTCTGTCAATATCATCTCTTCAGAGCTGCTTCTCAGTAGAGCTTCATTTGTCTCCCTCACTTCGCGCCTCCCTCTCATAACCTTCTTTCCTCTTATTTCTCTTTTCATCCTTACCTCAGTGCTATTATGTTTATTTGGGTCTAACCAATTGGACTCGGCCAGTATTTCCTCTTGTATTTGACTTCTAAGCGACTCATTTTCTTTCTTCAATGTATCGGAGTTGTTTTTCTCTAGGATCACTGGGATGCTTGGTAATTCTTTAAGAGTTAAATCTAAGGGCCGTGTATCGTTTAGGTCTTTTTCCGAACTGGAGCGCTCTAGGGGTTCTTGATTTTCATAAGTTTGGGGTGTATCGAGGCCACAGGACTGTAACAAAATGTAGAAAATATTGTATAAATTATAGAATATTCTGGAATACTATTTTATCAATATTTCTCAAAATTTCTAGGCGGTAGGCATCCACCAAGCACCAAGCAAGGCATGCATAGCCTTACTACAGTCTAAGGAGAGCCAGTGATATTAAACAACTCTCATATTTATTTCATACTACTAGTAATGCAACGTAGTATATTAAAGTGTAGTTTACGTAGTCCATATTACAAGTTGAGTTGATAACACATCTGTAGCATTCTTTGTTTTAAGTTAGTTAAAGGTTTTCATGGGCTGCAGTAGTCACTTACCATCACAAAAATTATTGTACTGACATAAATGTGAATGTTATATCTTACCAATATGGACATGATCCATCTTGAAATATCTCCAAATCTCTTTTAGAGCAGCATGAGGAAAAAGGATAAATATATTTTTATTATTTATGTATAATGTTTTGTATTGCAGTCAATATAGTTTTAATATTTTTCTTACAATTAACTAATTGTCATAATCATAAATCATTTATTTGCAAGAAATATGGTTGGTACACAAGATGTTAAAGTAAGTTATAGCACAGGACATATTTCACCCTCATTACGGGCATGCAAAATCATAGTAAATTTACAACAATTATTTGAATAAAATTACAATTATTAGAACTATTTGAATAACAATTTATAAGAACTATTTTAATTGCAATTATAACAATCTTTTAAATTTCAATTATTTGAATTACATGATTACATTTACATGATTATAAATTATTGAATTATTATAACAGACTAAGTCACAAGAAATAAAAAGAAAGATCTGATATCTTAGTGGGCACCAAATCGGCAAGTGCTATTATTCAAAAAATCTTTAATAGTATAGAAACTCTCCTGGTTTAACCATTTTCGCAAGGCACAACAGAACCTTTTATATGGCAGGTGAGTCATTCCTTTGGGCAAGGAGTTATATGTTAGAGGTGCCATATAAGCACAGTTTTTTTTAAACAGTTCTAGCTTAGGCATAGGCATTTTTAAGGGCACGTGGTTAATTTTTCGTTTAAATGTATTGCTGTTGGCGGTGAAGAGATGACTGTGGTATTTAACAAATTTAGCTGTTTCGTAGATGTATATGCAGGGAACAGTTAGTAGATTATTGATTTAAAGGTCGGTTTACATGATTCCGACCAATCCATGCCGTACAGTGTCCTAATGCATTTTTTCTGTGCTATAAACACCCTCGTGATGTCGCAGGAATTTTCCCAGACAACTATGCCATATCGTATAATGGAGCAAATGTAAGCGTGATATACCATAATAGAGGTATGTCTGCTTGTCACGTCTTTTACCTTTCGAAGTGCAAAAACAAACTTATTTATTTTTATGCATAAATTATTAATATGTTCTTTCCATGAAAGATGTGTATCGAGAATAATGCCTAAGAATTTTGCGGTATTTATTTGTTGTATAAAATACAAATTCCTTGTGGAATCGTTTACCACCAGCGATTTTTCCGGACCGATACTACTTAGGGACCTTCAAGAAAAGAGCCTACTCCTTTTTAAAAGGCCGGCAACACATCTGCAATTCCCCTGTTGTTGCAGTTGTTCTTGAGCGGCGGTAGTCACTTACCATCAGGTGAGCCGCATGCTCGTTTGCCTACTTTCCTATAAAAAAAAACCAGATGATGCGTTGTTATTGTAGTTGTGGCGGCGCTGTCGTCGCGCCATAAGCGAAACACATAGAATCCTAAATCGCGCTAACAAAGTTCCGAAATTAAAGCAATATATATAGAATAGCTCCGAACTACCACTCGGAACGTTGGCCGCTCCCCGGGCAGAACACATTGCCCGGTGGGAGCTCTCCCCTTTTCCTTCCACCCGCCTCACACATTCAAGAGTAATTTAGAATTTATATTTTTGTGTAGATTTTCACTATACGTCCGTTGGTTATGCAGGCGAACTAGACCTTTTGGAAAAAAGTATTTAGATTCTCCCTTACATCTTAAGCTTTTATATACATTATATAATTTATTACGATTATTTGTTAGTATGATGGCAGAGGAAGCTAGTGTTACTTGCAAAGTACCTGACATTCAGCATCCAGTTCGTTATCGGTGTTCACGGTAAAGGTGCAACCACTACCAACCACATCGGCTACTCGAGACAGCGAGATGAGTCTCTCATATCCCATACGCAATGGCTGCGGTGATGGCTCCATATCTGTAATAAGTTACATTATTTAATAACGTTTACAATGAATCTCTATTATGGACATAGAAACTAACAAGTCGATGTAAGATTACTTTTCAGGTCTGTACTGTACTGTTTCAGGGAACACTATGTTCAACAGTGGACCTTTGATAGATTTAACGATAACGGTAAAAAAAAACTCATTTTAAATAAAACTAGTTTTTACGGATTTTATCGCGTATATTAAATTATATTACAATATATTTAAAAATAAATATTTGACGGCTCCGTAGCGCATTGGCTTAGCATTGAGTTGCATCGCTAAGGGCCGCGGGTTCGAATCCCGCACGGAACAAGTATTTGTATGGCCTATAAATAATTGTTTTGGGTATGGATGTTTGTCCTTGTGAAATCTATGTATGTAAACTGCCCCCGCGATACAGGAGAAAATCCTTATGTGTAGGTAACGTTTTATAAAAAAAGAAAAAGAAATAAAAAAATGTGAAATATGACATTGTGACGTCGAACACCTCAATCCCCCCCGTGACCATGGGTGCTGTAAAGTGCTTGCAAAGTCGTGAATATAAAATAAGTAAATATACGCGATAAAATTCGTAAAAACTAGTTTTATTTAAATGTGTAGTGCTCGCGTAAATATATGAAAAAAAAAACTCAATACTTACTAAGCACGTTCCTCACGTAGTTCCTTGAGGCGTGAGAGGTTGTTGTCGAGGAGTGCGATGTATCTGCCGTAGTCGTTGTTGTGTAGTCTTGGGTGGTCTTAAGCGGTCCTTTCTCTGTCAAAAAGATAGCTATAAGTAAAAAAAGAGATTTAAAAAATTCGACTTTTACCAATGGTAAATACGTTTTCACTTGAAGCTACTAGTTTTTTTTTTATTGATATGAGAGAGACAAACCAGTAAACAGTACACCTGATGTTAAGACTACTGCAGTCCATAGACATTTGCAACCAACTTTAGACAAAGAACGCCACAGATGTATTGGAACTGTTGCGGAATAAGAAAAAGTGCCTAAATTATAGAATAGATAGCGACCCGCCCAAGTTTTTTTTATAGAATAAGTGTGACAACGAGCATACAGTCCACCTAATGGTAAGTGGATGCTGTGGCCCGTAGACATCTATATTTATCCTCTAATAAGAATCAAAATTCATATGCTTTGTCACCCCTCATGACTAAGATGGAATGTCTCGTTTCCAGTAAAAAAAGATCTCCAATTTTACGACGGTTTTCTGTGAGAGCGTGGTTCTACCACGGTCAAGCCGACCCATTACCAAAACAAAACATACATGTACGAATATTATGCGCGAAAATCTTAGATATGAGATCTGCAGACAGTGTCATGCATCAACATCTATTAAGTAGCTTTAAGGCAAAAAAAACCTATCCAATTGCAGAGAGGTGTAAGACAGGGTGACGTCATATCCCCGAAACTCTTCACCGCTGCATTGGAAGACGTTTTCAAGCTTCTGGACTGGAAAGGATACGGTATCAACATCAATGGCGAGTACATCACTCACCTTCGATTTGCCGACGATATAGTCCTTATGGCAGAATCGCTGGAGGACCTAAGCACTATGCTCAATGACCTCAATAGTGTTTCCCAACGGATAGGTCTTAAGATGAACATGGACAAAACAAAGATCATGTTTAATGTCCACGTCACACCTATGCCGGTAGTTGTTGGGAGCACTAAGCTCGAAGTTGTTGACGAGTATGTTTACCTGGGACAAATAGTTCGACTGGGTAAGTCCAACTTCGACCGAGAGGTCAATCGACGGATTCAACTCGGCTGGGCAGCGTTCGGGAAGCTACGACACATCTTCTCGTCAGACATACCTCAAAACCTTAAAACGAAATTGTACAACCAGTGCGTGTTGCCAGTGATGACTTACGGAACTGAGACGTGGTCCTTCACTGCTGGCCGTATGAGGAAGCTCAAGGTCACTCAGCGAGCTATGGAGAGGGCTATGCTCGGAGTTTCTCTGCGTGATAAACTTAGGAATGAGGATATCCGCAGTAGAACCAGAGTGACCGACATAGCCCAACGGATTAGTAAGCTGAAGTGGCAGTGGGCCGGCCATATAGCTCGAAGAACCGACAACCGATGGGGAAGAAAGGTTCTCGAGTGGCAGCCTCGTACCGGTAGGCGAAGTGTAGGGCGTCCCCCCACGAGATGGAGTGACGACCTGGTAAGACATGCAGGAAGTCGATGGATGCAGGTGGCTCAGGACCGTGTTTTGTGGCATTCTTTGGGGGAGGCCTATGTTCAGCAGTGGACTTGTGAAGGGCTGTAATGATGATGATGATGATGAAGGCAATAAACAAATACGCAACTAGATTTGAATAAGCGACATTAATTCCTACTATTTAATGATATTTAGACATACATAAAACGTTTTTATTATTTTATTATATATAATAATTTTTTTCCCCTTTCTTGGCCTGCACGGTTTGTGCGTCAGCCATGTATATCTAATTATAAGATCTGTACAGTTTTAAATAACTGCAGTGCAATAACTAACTCAGATAAGCAAACTAATAACTGTGTATATAGGTTAAAAAAACTGTTTGCTCATGTGTCAATGTCAACATAATAATAATCGTTTGTGCATCTGTTAATGATCGCGTAACTTTTGAAAGACTTGACCGATTGATCATATTTGTTTTGTTAAGACAAGCTGTAGTCAAAGTATTTATAGAATAAATGTCTCATGTTCAGAATAAAATGATAGTTTAAAGCCCAAAAATGAAACCTGAATATCTGGACCCGATATGTGGCTCTATAGTTGAGTTATTAATAATATTTTTATTAACACTGTAAAAAATTCTTAGAGTGAAGAGAAGTATTATCGAGTCTCTTTGAAGAACGATAGACAGACGTACTACATGAGGTGAATGAATTTTGGTACGGAACACTAATGATGTTGGCAAAGCCACTGGAAAAATCTAGGTAATTATATAAGGATTTTATACGCATTTGTATGTTGCTATTATTAATTTCAACGAACTGCACGAAAATATATTATTGTCCTGAGAGATGTTATTATACAACGTGTTACGTGTTAGGCGAGCCATTAAAGTAGCGTTTTGTAAATGGCGGCCAAAGCCTGCTATCTCTCTTAAGGCGGCTCTTCACGTTGACCAACATAGCGGCGAATGTGTGGGCAAATATATTAGTCAAGAGTTTGTGATGGCGCCCACACGTTGGAAGGTCGTTCAGTTTGCTTCGATTCAGGCCAATGTGCGGGCGAATCTATTAAAATGATTATTGATGCGCTAACGGCTGCTGCGATTTATTTATTCACAATATACCGCTACTACGTGAATGTGTATAAGAAAATGGTGATCAAAATGAAATGGCAAAAAATAAATTTTATTTCTTCTGTTCCACAAACAATTTTCGGCTTGTCTACCAAGTCTCACAAACTCTATAAAGCGAAAAGTTTCTTCATTGTTCATTGTTACTGCTATTTTGTAGACACTAGTTACGATGCGTAAATATAAAATTTAAATCAAGTGCGATCACTCTGGAAACTCGTAGAAAACTAAACGTGCGCCCAACGTGTGGACGCGGCAGTCTCTATATAGAGAGTAAATACTCTGCCACAACCCTTTGATCTTTTGTAAAAAACCAACACCACGCGGATCTCGCGCCAACTTGTGCGCCATCATTCTAATACATACCAACGTAAGCACAAACACCCGCTCTACACGATAGCCATTGGTATTGGCCAACACATTCGCCACTATGTTGGCCAACGTGAAGAGCCGCCATTACATAATATTGATTAAATATACTCGCACACCCATGCAACATTTGCAAGAATCGTTAAATTCACACAATCGGCGAAGATATCACGGATAGACTGTGTTTTCATATGTAACATTTTAATGTTACATATATACAGTCTAATTAAGAGCTTCCTCCTTTTTGAAGGAGGTTGAAAATAAACTTTTGAAATAAAAAATAACAAAAAAAAAAAACATTTGACTGCTTTGTTTTTGTGAGCGTACGTCAAAAACCTGGCGCCATTTATGAATCGCTTCTTTATTGCTACGGCTTATATTGGACGTGATAATAACGTGACACTTACCTTTGGCAGTTTTCTTTGCAGCTGCGTGTTGCGATGGTTTTGAATTCTGTAAGGAAAAATAAATCTTTAATTGTAATATTTTAAGTTGCAAATTATGTAATGATCAATGAAAGGTTGAAGTATAGTTTCACAATGCATTTTTATTATTAACAAAATAAGCTATACAATAAATTACAACACATTTTTTTAAGACATAGTGCATAGAAGAATTACATCTACAACTTCCAAATGTGAAATTATGTTATTATTTTTATTTATTTGAAGTCGGCTTTAATTTAAAAAAAAAATTTCTGCGTGGAATATGGAACATCACATTTCATTTTCATCTAAACAGTTACATTAAGAACTTTATCCCTGGCAAAATAGCCACACTTAGGGGTAAAAAATTTTGCCCAAATTTCCAATATATAGTATAACCTAATTCATAAATAATTAAATAATCAAAATAGGGTCACAATGGAAGAGAATATCGCTTATCATACATTCAAAAGCATAGTCGAATTGAAAAATTCCTCCTATTTTTGTAGTTGGCTAAAAATCTAAACACTTAAACATACTATAACAATTTATAATATTTGTACTTTTTGTTTTAAATTCGAGATTCGTTACGTTCATACACATGTTATATAGTTACAGATGTTTTATTTCACGAAGGCTGGCGAGCCTTACTTATAGTTGAGATGTGTATTGTGTAGAGACACGGGTGCTTATGTGGGTAACTGCAGGTAACGCTACCTGCAGTTACGCAACACACAAAACACAAGCCAGCCAAAAGCAGCAATTGAAAAACATAATATAATTAAAAAAGACGACAGTCAGGCAATATTTAAGCAATAAAAATCTTACATGAATTTGATTTTGGTCAGGGGGCGTTGCCCTGTGAGCAGGTCCACCATTGGCATTAAATTTACCGTAATGCGGGTAGTTCGAAAATTTCTCGTGCATTCTAATCTCCTTCATGGATAATAGTTCTTGGTGTTCCCGGAAGTATAATGCAGTCATAACAACCAGGCTGTAACAAAAAACATAAAAAATTGATAATAGAAAAAAATAACAATAAAAAGTAAACAATAATTTTTAGATAGTTTGGAAAATCCAAAAGTGCACGCTTCATGAACGTTTCATTTAATTTTGACGAAAAAAATAAATTTTATTCCTGACTTTTAAAATATATTATTTACGTGTATTAAATTCAGCGCTCCATTATTTTAACAGGTAGCGTTACCTACAGTGAAAAATAATAATGTTTACCAAAAAAAAAAAAATCAATTACACAAGTATAAAATCGATATAGGGTATTTGTCCTTTGTCTATCAAATGCTAAAAAAATATATGACAGCGCCTAAATTTTTAATAACAATAAAACTTATAAAAATTGAAAATCATTTTAATAACAAACTACGCATACCAGGCTATTGATATGAAACAAGAAACCAGTTGATGTAATTCTAAAGCTAATAAAAAAATTCGGTCTATACACGTCATTTTTTCGGGAGTTATCTTGACTACATACAAAATCAACATCCGGACGTCCACGTAAAATCTTTTTCAAACCGTTTTTTTTTTCAAAGTAGCAATATAAATAATATAAGCAATATTATTTTTTCACTGTTTGACTGGCCTGTTGGTCTAGTGGTTAGTGACCCTGACTGCTACGCCGGAGGTCGTGGGTTCGATTCCCACCCAGGACAAATGTTTGTGTGATGAGCACGATCATTTGTTCTGTGTCTGGGTGTAATTTATCTATAATATTTATGTATTTAGAAATATATAAGTATGTTTATCAGCTGTCTAGTACCCATAACACAAGCTCTGCTTAGCTTGGGACTAGATGGCGTTGTTTGATAGTTGTGGAATATTATTATTTTTTACTGTAGGTTTTTTAAAAAAAAAATAAAGTGGATTAATTAGTGTTTTCTTGATATACGGCTACTCATAATATCGTATAAGTGCAATATGGTTATGATAGAAGCTTTTTAAGAACACAAAATTACTTGACCTTGACGTTTCAAGAGTCGAATACACCTATAACGCTTCGCGTTATGAGGCGTGCAATAAAGACAAATAAACCGCCAAATAAGCGCCATGTTTCTTCGTTGATTAATATATAGTTACCATTTATAATTACCTACCATTAATTAATATATACGTACCTTTGTGATAGTACGACGATAGTAAACTATTCAAAGTCTTTAAGACCAGATGCTAACATTTTAAGATTTTTCTTACATTTCCCTTAGTTTCATAACAGCAGAGGGAGGAGTTAAAACCATATTTAGATATATAAGTATGTTGCTCTAATTACATTTACATTTAAAAATAAAAAGTTAAACTTACCATATAGCCATAATAAAAATCAATATAGTGATAACAATTTGCAAAAACTTATTCGAAATCAATTCACTGCTGGCATCCCCAAATCGATCCTTCCGTCGGCAACAGAATGGTAATTTATTGTTACCATACGGCAAACTGTCCTCATCTCTAAGCCAAAGACACGAGTCTTTTTGTTTTGATAGAGTACTGTAACTTTCATCTGTCAACTTTTGGACTGGATTTGACTCTAAGGTGCTGACATACGTAGGATAATTATCAGGGCTTTCGACTTTGTCACTTTTACTTGAATGGTATCTTACACATGTTTTGTTATAGTTATAATATTTTCCATATTTAGCATAGTTTCCGTGGCAGTTTTTGCATTGTTTTCTTGTGTATTTCGGGGAATTGTGACTCAGTTTATGGCAGCATTCGTGACGGCGAATATTTCGCGCTATGTCGCGTATTTGATCTATGGAAATATTGCCATCACTATAAAATGATTTCGATGAGGTCGACAGGCCTGAGAAACGTGAATCTGAAAATAAATTATATAAAGTGTAACATTTCTATTTCTACATAATATGAAATTTCTACATATTTCTATAAAATCTATTCTAATTCTACGTATAAATGGTAACTAAAGATGGAATTTCTCATCTCTCCGCATTACCATCAGCTCATTAACACCACTGAAACGTGGGCTCTTCCACAATAGGAAGAATTTGCCACAATTGTAATCAGGCGGATAAGCGATCACAGTAATTTTGCACCGTTGATGATGTTTCCTATCACCGGTTTGAGTATTTTACATCTGCTAAATATACAAGATGGTTATACAGCCATCTATTGGCGTTTATTAGAGATTTCTGGTATTGCCCAAAATACTTCTTACGATACCCACAGGACCATATGGAGTGATAGATTATCCTACGCTGCTACCATACCTAGGTTTTTAACAAAGGAAATTTAATAAAGAAAACTAACAATAAATGTTATATAAGGTGTAATTTATTTTCGTACGAACCATTGCTAAGACTGGAACGGTTGCTATCTCTGCGGTGAAGACGCTTGCTGACACGTTCCAATTGTTCGATGCGAGATTCTAAATGTCCCGTCACCTTGCAAAGCTCCTTCACCGCTCCCAGATTCTCCATGAAGATACGATCCTAGAACATATAGACAATAGTACATATTGTAATACATATTGTCATGACAGTTAGCTAAAAGGTTAAGCGGATGGTTATGAACACAGTCATTAGGTATTTTCTTGTATCTTATTGACGACGCGAAATTTGGCAGCTATGACACAAATTAACACTTCGTCGAACAAATCGATTCAAATAAGAATAGGAACGTCAATAACCTCGAATGACCCCGAGCTGTCAACTGTCATTTGAAAAGTACGGATTGCAAAGAAAATTAATTTTCCACTTTTTTTAGGCTGGCCAAATACATTCGAAATTCCGTTTCGGAATCCCGAACGGACTCGCCACAAAAAAATACATGGTTTTTTTTCAAGTTTCATTATAGGCAACATTTCGCCAAAAAGTAAAGAGGACGCCATCTTGTCGACGTCAGTGTGCTTCGTCGTGCGATAACAATCGGTGGATTATTTTAAATACTTACCATGTGTTATTTTTTATACTACATGTTTTATTTTTATAGGAGAAAGCATGATGATGACTACTCAGTTGAATGATATTAATGATAGCGTTCATTTGGTTCTTTTGGAAATAAATATTTTTCAAAAATATCTGGTTTGAATTGACTGCTATAACGTCACAACATGGCGCCAGGTCAGACCTATTCTTATTTGAATGGCATAGCAAAATATGATACGTGCACTTTTTGTTTACAATAAAAAATTAAGAATGAACAATTGTAAATATTCACTACCACATAACGTTCCGTGGGGTTCCATAACAAAAAAAAAAACTGCGTTTGCTAAGCCGCCTGCCAAGCGTGACAACAGTGGCAGATATTTCCCCTATGAGGCAATCTAAGGATGAGGCCTATATTTTGATAGCCTTTAATGTAATGAATAAATTAAATCTCCTCGTTGAGCAGATAGTAATGGCCGTATTTGTTTGTTTGTCGACGTCAAGGAACTAGGGAATCTTGTCTTTGTTGGGCAGCGTCACATATTACCCTGTCTTCTTTACAGCTAAGAAACTAAACTTACGTGGTAGAGGTTCACGTGGTAGAGCTATGCTACAGCTATATTAACTGTATAGTTGTAGCACGAATGGGTCGGCTCGACCGGGGAAGGACCACGTTCTCACAGAATACCAGCGTAAAATAGCAGCATAATGCTGCTGTGTTTCGTATGGTGAGTGTAGAGAACCGGAGACCCTTTTTACTGGAGAAGAAGCATTTCATCTTAGTCCTCACGGGTGACAACGCATCTGTATTTTGATTCTTTATTGAGGATAGATGTAGATTTCTATGGGCCACAGCAACCACTTACCATCAGGACTGTGTGCTCGTTTTTTATTACCTATAAAAATACTTAGGTCTTTTACGGATTTTATCTTATAAAATTTTAAGTTTTATAGAATTCCCGACGTTTCGGTAGCTTTCGTTAACTATGACACTAGGACGTAAAACACTTCAATCCCCTAATCAATCGTAACCATGTGTACTGTAAAGTGCCAGAAACGTCGAAATCTAAAAAAGATTAACATTAAACTCAATAAAATCCGTAAAATGTGATCTTCTTTCTATTATTAGGCTGCGTTTCCACCACAGATGTGCGAAGATGCGTAGCGAGGGATGTGTTTGTTAATAACCAATAAAATCACATCATTTACCTAGCCTCGCTCAGCACTGCTCTACTGGAAACGGCTCAGTGGAGCGAGGTTTTGTACATAAAACAAAGAAAGGATGTGTGCGAGGGATGTGTTGCGAGGGATGTGTTGCGAGGTATGTGTTGCGAGGAATGTGTTGCGAGGGATGTGTTGCGAGGGATGTGTTGCGCGGGATGTGTTGCGAGGGATGTGTTGCGAGGGATGTGTTGCGAGGAATGTGTTGCGAGGAATGTGTTGCGAGGGATGTGTTGCGCGGGATGTGTTGCGAGGGATGTGTTGCGAGGGATGTGTTGCGAGGGATGTGTGCGGGGGATGTGATGCGAGGGATGTGTGCGAGGGATGTGTTGCTAGGTTAAACAAAACGAACTACATTCAATTTGAAAATGATTTAAAACATTCCTGTTTATAATAATATCTTTTTGTAAAATTGAACTTTGAAAAGTTTTACTTTTGTTTTACAACAGCCATAGATATAATTATATTTTTAGCTCGCTACACATATTCGCACCGCTCATCTGCGCACCATTTCACAGCGTCGCTACGCATCCTCGCACCACCTAGACACCTCGCACATCTCTGGTGGAAACGCAACCTAACGTAGAATTTTCGTAAATATATACGTAATCATCAGCTAAGAAATTCTTACCTTGTTGACGACGAGGAACTTGGGGATGGTGTCGCCATTAGGCAGCGTAATGTCGCCCGCTTCTTTGACGGCCTCGGGCAGAACTGTTCGCACTTCCTGTGCGATGACGCCGGTGTCGGCGTGCGGCGCCGCTCGCCGCGGGTCGTGACCCAACAGCCCGGAATGCTCCGCGAACGATGGGTCATAGTTGAATCTGTTGACCGGTTATTGTTGAGGGTTTCATCTTTTTTTTTTCACGGGAAAATGCCTACGCATCGGGTATGATATAACGCATAGGCGTTTTCCATTTTTTTCAAAAGGTTTCATCTTTTTTAACGATAAATGCCTACCCGTTTTGCGAGGCAAAGGGCGGGTCGGACTTGAACCATATAAAACTTCATGGATTGCCAGCTTGAGCGCATATCAGTATTACACACTTGTGGTGCTGGTGTGATTACTAGGCGGTACTAGGTACTAGGTGGTGTGGTTCCGCTATGAGGGTACGATAAAGATTATGCCGGACTCCTACTGGATAAAACTTCAGCGTGGTCACCATCAGGTTGTAAATTGTGTTGAAGTCGCTGGCCTGCAGAGAGCGACGGCGAGCGCACGCGGCACACAATATTTGATATTATGACAAAAGTTTAGAATTGTAATGAAAATTAATAAATTCAATTTCTTGTTGAAGTGACTTATAAGTAATTAATCTTAATCTTTGTAAACAAGAGGCATCCTTATTGGGGTCTTGTTACTAGGCGTTCAAAGCCCCGGCTCCGAGCAACCGTAACCCCAGAGGTCCCGTTTCTGTTAGAGGGACACCATCATTAAGGGGAGGGCCCTGACAAACGCTTTCGCGGCGCCATCTATGAGCTTCATTCTGATTACAAATTCACAAATATCGGTTATAGAAGGTAGTTACATCTTAACCTATCTTATCGCAGAAACCTTGCATCGGGCACAGGCAATTAATTATAACTAATTATTTGACCTAATCATATAATTATTCGATGCCGTGTGGTGGCGGCGCAAATTCATCAGAGGTGACAATGGGAAGGCTGTGTTACCAAGCCCTCCTAAAACCTAAAACCACTACAGTAATAAGAGATCTGTGTCGAGCTGTGGAATGGTATACGTGGTAGAGCCATGTTTATACGTGGTAGAGCCATGCTGCAGCTATATTGGTAGTATAGTTGTAGCATGAATGGGTCAGCTCGACCGGCGAAGGACAACGCTCTCACTGTGTTTCGTATGGCGAGTGTTGAGAACCGGAGACTCTCTTTATTGGAAAAGAGGCATTTCATCTTAGTTATCGCGGGTGACAACGCATCTGCATTTTGATTGGGGATAGATGTAGATGCCTATCATGGGTCACAGCAACCACTTACCATCAGGTGGACTGTGTGCTCGATTGTCACGCTATCCTATAAAAAAAATCTATTAAGCAATTACTTTGCCTTTATTTCATATTATAAGACCTGGCTCAGCAGACTTTGTGCTTCACCTTTTTCCCTTTCAATATGATCTCAATTGGATAAGTCGTTCAGAAATTAAGTGATCACTAACAGATATAATATATAAAAGTGATGGCTGTCTTCACATATATAAACTTCACAGATAACCGCAAAATATAGCGTTATTGTAATTGTCTATACACTTTACGATATTTTTGTATAGTTTGATATCTAAATTACACAAAGACGGAAGTGATGCGTTTGGTTTCGTGTCTTCTGAACTTATGGGAATCCCGTTACCACAAGAGTGCACACGCTAGGTATAAAAGTGGTAGATAGGAAACCTGGAAATAGGCTTTGCAGTACTCTTATTGGATAATAATTAACAAATCTCATAAGCGTTAAGCGGTAGTACAAAGTGGCGCGAACAAAAGACATGGATAGACATATTTCCGTACTTATTAAAATATTGCACTTTATAGCACAGTTTTGTCAACTATATATATAATTTAATCATTTTTATGATACTCACTTAACCACCCGTATGCTTTGTACGTTACGAAGCTGTTGCGCAGTGTCCAGCTCTTCGATATTGTGCTTAGCGCGGGCGTCTGACGGGTGCACTATGTGGCCCATAACTTTTAAGTTACCTGCAATTTATATGCTATGTTTAGCTAGAATATAGCAATATCCTTAACAATAAAATGTTATATAACGTAAATACTCTGAAGACAATACAGAAGAACTATCCTAATGATGCACTAACCTTAGCAATTAGCCATTATGCATATTACGTAGTGTGGTGGTAAAATTAAAAATTTTGTACAACCGACTTCAATATAAATAAAATTAGAACATCATTAATGTCAACATCATCATTACAGCCATTCCAAAACCACTGTTGTAGACCATAGACCTCCCCCAAGGAATGCCACAAAGCATGGTCCTAAGCCACCTGCATCCATCGTCTTCCTGTATGTCTTACCAGGTCGTCACTCCGTTTAGTGTGGGGACACCCTACACTTCGTCCGCTGGTACGAGGCCGCCACTCGAGAACTTTTTTCCCCATCGGTTGTCGGTTCTTCGAGCTATATGGCCGGCCCATTGCCACTTCAGCATACTAATCCGTTGGGCAATGTCGGTCACTCTGGTTCTACTGCGGATATCCTCATTTCTGAGTTCATCACGCAGAGAAACTCCGAGCATAGCCCTCTCCATAACTCGCTGAGCGACCTTGAGCTTCCTCATACGGCCAGCAGTGAAGGACCACGTCTCAGTTCCATAGGTCATCTCTGGAAACACGCAGGATACGGCCCTAATATGTACTTATCTATAATACCACTTTCTTACACCGTGGGTGTCATAAGATGCGACAGAGGGAAGCAAACCAGGCGATGGGTAGCAACCACTTTTTTATATAGGATAGGGTGACAAACGAGCACACAGTCCACCTGATGGTAAGTGGTTGCTGTGACCTATAGACATCTACATTTATCCTTAATAAAGAATCAAAATGCAGATGCGTCGTCACCCGTGAGGACTAAGATGGAATAGCTCTTTTCCAGTAAAATAGGTCTCCGGTTCTCTACACTCACCATACGAAACACGGCAGTGTCAAGCTGCCATTTTACGCTGGTGTTCTGTGAGAGCGTGGTCCTGCCCCGGTCGAGCAGACACATTCGTGCTACAACTATACTACTAATATAGCTGCAGCATGGCTCTACCACGTAAAAACCACTTCATTATAACAACCAAATAATAAAAAAACTGCGATTGCCAATCCGCTTGCAATGCGTGGCAACTATGGCAAATAGTGGTTATGAGCCAATGAGAGTGGCCACTGTTGATCAGTGGATTTTTAATAGGCTGTAACGGTAACCCGCTTCTTTATAATATTTTATATAATTACCATTAATAACGCATGACTCGTCGGGTCGGTCCGTATTAATGCCAACGCGCCCGTTGTAGTGCACGCTGTTGTCCGATACGCCACGCTGCCACCAGTTCTCCGAGCAGTCCGATTCAAATTGCCCAGGGTTTGAGGCCTGCATGGTTTTATTTTAGAAGCTGAATGTTTGCTGTAAATTTAACAGTACGCGAACAACCCAGGTCCGATCCCCGCCAGTACTGATAAAATTGTTAAATTAAATTTCAAACGCTGATTTACCATAAGCTCGACAGTGAAGGAAACCATTGTGAGGAAACCTGCATGTCTAAGAAATATTTTTTTAAGGACACATTGGAGCAGTGCCGCTGTTCCCAGTGTATAAAGGTTTAATTTACTTGGTATGAAATTTACTGTATCATGAGATGAGATAAGCACTAACTCCTCATATGCAAATGGGTTGCTTACAGCCGCTTTTCATAAAAGCGGTTTAATTAAATGTTTAAGATATTGGACAGTGTGCTTAATACGCAAATTAATAAACATCTAAAACTGCATGACAATGAGTTCGGATTTCGTTCCGGACAGTCTACAGAAAATACAATACTTTGCCTTAAACACACTGTCAAATATTATGTTGATAGGAAAAGACCTGTCTACGCGTGTTTTCTTGACCTTTTTTTTATAGGATAAGGGTGACAAACGAGCACACAGTCCACCTGATGGTAAGTGGTTGCTGCGGCCCATAGACATCTACATCTATCCTCTATTACAAATCAAAATGCAGATGCGTTGTTGTCACCCGTGAGGACTAAAATAGAATGCCTCATTTCCAGTAAAAAGGGCCTCCGGCCACCTGCACTCACCAAGCGAAACACAGAGGTAAACCTCTACTTCACGCTGGTATTCTGTGAGGTCGTGGTAGGTAGTGGTGACCTGGCGAGGGCATTTGATCTAGTCTCATATAATATACTGTGGAAAAAATTAGGGGACATTAAATTACCACTTCAACTAATACAGATTTTAAAGTATTGATATGGAGGACAGGTCAATTGCGTTAGATGACAAACGCTTTGTCTGAACCATACCGGTTAGAATGCGGGGTGAGACAGGGTGGGCTAAGCCCACGTAGTCTCTTTAATCTCTATATAAATGGAACACGTGTAAACAACTTGAGTTATGCAGACGACACGGTGCTGCTGAATGCATTATGTGGATCAAGAAAATTGTTAAGTGTTTTTTAGACATTCGCGGACGAATATGGGCTGAAGTACAATGTACAAAAAAGTCAGTAAATGATCTTTGAAGCCGGTCGTACGAGTAATGGGGCTTCCCATTAAATTAAATGGTACACTATTAACTAGGGTAGACTCTTTTAAATATTTAGGTCATATGGTCACGTCCGACCTCGGGGATAGTACTGACATGGAAAGGGAACGTAGGGCTCTGTCGGTTCGAGCAAATATGATTGTTCGCATGTTCGCGCGATGCTTAAGGGAGGTTAAACTCACTATATTTAGAGCATTTTGCACATCTCTTTATGCAGCCTATGCAGCCTACACGCAACGGGCATATGGAGCCCTTCGGATCCAGTACAACAACGCGTTCCGGGTGCTGATGAGGCTGTCCCGTCGCTGCAGCACATCAGCGATGTTTGCTCAAGCTCATATAGATTGTTTTTACGCAACTATGCGTAAAAGAGCTGCATCTCTGGTGCTTAGGTGGTAATTAGGGCCAACCCCAACGGCATTCTTAAAATGATAGGTGACAGAGTATACTGTCCCTGTCTGCAACACTGTTGTAGAATGCATGTGCCCAGCAGCTAATTGACTTCTGGACACATGCATTATATAGCATTAAGTAAAAAATATTAAAACTAATAATTTTAATGCATGTATCCAATGTTAAGATAATAATAAAGTATTTAAATTTTTTTAAAGTGGGGAGTCACTTAGAGTGTTAGTCATGAAACGAAATTCTCAAAATTTGGGTCGGGAACTATTTACTGTATCTTTTTCAGCCACCAAGCAGTTGTGGACCTACAGTTGAATTCTGGATTGAAGATAGGGAGATGCCAGAGCAACTGATTATATGATGTGACGTATTCCATTTCCATCTTCCCTCTAGGTAGATCAGGCAGGAATCTGTGGCTTTGTTTGTAACTCCCGACGAAAACAAAGAAGTGTTATATGTTTGTAGTGTGTATCTGTGTGTCTGTGTATGTGTGTGTCTGTGTGTGGCATCATAGTCTCTGAACGGATAAACCGATTTTGAATAATTTTTTTTCGTTTGAAAGGTATCTTCATCGATATTGTTCTTAGCTATGATTCAAGAAAATCTACACTTAAACTCTTTTTGTTTCGGGGGTTCTTAAATTTTTAAATTTAAGTTATATTTGAATTTGGTTGCAGGTACCATTGGAATAAGTCATTTACTATCAGGTGGCTTATAAGCTCAACGGGGTAAATTTTTACTATTTTGTATAAAATATATATATCAATAATAATATATTTTTTGCTTCCGTAAGATTAAGTACCTACACATAAAAAACTAAAGTATATACTTCTTCAACGATTATGAAACTAGTGACATCTAAACTAGACAAAGCCTTATATGTCAGGGGTTTTTTCCAAAGCAACTATGCTTTGAAGAAAACATCTTCTGTACTTAAACCTTTGTACTAATAAAGGTTTAAGTACAGAACAGGCAGATAATAATTTTATTATCTTTAACTTAACAGATTTTTGTGTCATTTGGTTTATATTAATGTGCATATGCAAAGTATATGATACTACTACTACTAGTATATGATAGATCACACTTGTAATAGTTGGCAACCCCAGTATGCTTGCACGCACTCACATACATCTGCACGCACACATGCACGCACTCACGACTCCCTGTACGTACTTACCCGCACGATGATTCGGTCGCTCGCGTGCGCGGCGATCATGTAATCGTCACGAGTTGTGTGTGCCCGTAGCGCCACTACCAGCTGGAAGTGACGCTGGTCGGGGTTCGGACGGCCCTTCTTGCGCATGTTGTTGTTCGTCGTTTCAGCGAAGTGGAGACGTCCTACTGTAACTTTGGCCCCCTCACGCCGTAGTTCAACTCTAAAGTAATAAAATAAGATATATGTAGACGAATATTTGTAACTACAGCAAAAGCTATGTAAGTTCTAGAATAGCAGTCTCGTACTGGCAGAGTGCAATGTAGGGCGATATAATATGAAATGACGTTCTGATGAGGTATGCATATTATACCTAGTCAGGTCATAAATTCTGTCACATGTTAATATAAAATAATTGAAAAAAGTTTATTCATTATGTAACCATTTATATACCAAAATGAACTTAACAAAACATAGATTCTTATGACACTAAAGTTTATTCAAAATGACCTCCGTGATTTTGAATACAGGCCTTCAATCTGCGCGGCCAGTCGTCTATAGCAGAACGAACGAGGTCCATGTCAATATCGGCGGCTGCCTTAATCAAGGATGTCTTGAGTGACTTCAAATCGGGATGAGGCTTTGAGTACGCCTTTTCCTCCAAGTGTTGATATATCTTGTCATCTAACGGATTCAAATCTGGACTGGAGGAGGGCCAGTCTTCGTGCCGGATGAAGTCGATTTCACGCGCCGCCAGCCAGTCTTGTGTGCTCTTCGCTCTATGAGCTGGCGCCGAATCTTGTTGGAATACCCAGTGCCTGTTATTGAACATGGTATGAGAAACAGGTTTCACAAGGTTCGTCAGGACTGTATTTGATACACAACTGCATTCGTTTTTACACCTTTCTCACAAAAATATATCTCTATTAAGCCCCAATAAGAAACTCCCAACCATACCATGAGCGAGGATAGAAAATGACCTCATTTTTGCACGCGGAATACGGTTGCTCGCTACTTCACTACTGTGTGCGTACACCTTATCATTTTGTTTGTTGTAGCTCTCTTCTACGGTAAAATTTTTTCATCCGAAAAAAAAATTTCCCGATATTTTTTCCCGCGTACCGCTTCAACAAAGCGCGGCATCTCTTCAGTCTCAGGTCCATTAGACGAGCATTCAAACGATGTCCTGTTTTTCTTCGATATGCCCGAAGCCCTAAGTCTTCATTTAAAACCTTTTTCACCGTGGTTCTGCTTAACCCCATCTGAAGGGCCAACAGTTTCTGCTTAGATTTGGGACTTCTTTGAATTCGCGCCTTCACAGCTTTTATCACTGCTGGAGTCCTGACAGACCGAGGGCGACCACTTCTTGACCTGTCATCTACACTAAAGTCTTCATTGTATCGTTTGATGGTACGATAAACGAATCTTTTGGTTATATTCAAATTTTTCAGTATGTCAAAAATTTGAATTGGCGCGTAACCACAACGATGCAACGCAATAATTGCAACACGGTCTTCTTTAAGCGTCCACTCCATATTTAAAAATGAGTAAAATTCTAAAAAGTATAGTTTTATTTTCATGAACAATTCGAAATTCGAATTCAATAAACTTTTTGGGGCCAGCATTCTAAAAGAAAAGTTTTTACTGTGTGACAATACTTATGACCTGACTAGGTATAGTCAATGTGGACAGAAACCTCAATACATAGGATAGACACGGAAAATTTATTATGATAGATCTATATAACACGCACGTCGGTATAGGTTCCAAAGTTTAAGAATGACGGCTCCGTGGCTCAGTGGCTTAGCAATGAGTTGCAGCGATGGGGGCCGCGAGTTTGAATACCGCACGGAGCATTATTTGTATGGACTACAAATAATTGTTCCGGGTCTGAATTTTGTTTTTTTATATCTGTTCGAGAAGTTTTATTACAATCGGTTCAACTATTCCGAGGATTAGCCTGGACAAACAGACATACACAAAAATTTTAAAAATGCTTATTCATGCAATTAATCTTCGCAGCTCAATAAACGACAGTAATTTTGATATTACACACACTTCAATTTCATTTATATGTTCTAAATTCTAAATCTAGGATTGATGTAAATGAGCAATTTAAAAATCCTAGTGTGGAGGTAAGGTTTATTTTAATAAAAAAAGATGTGAATCGTGAAACGTCTGATTCTGTGGTTACTAATTGTTGACGGCATGCAATTAAGAAGAGAAATTGAGGAAATAAAGAAGGAAATAAATCAAAAACTGTTTATGAACTAGGATACTTACGGTACTGGATGAAAAGGTTTCTTTGTCCTATCTGATTGACTTTGTTCAACTCTGACTTCCTGAGTTGGGTCCTCAGCCTGTAAGAAAATGCTTTAACGTAGATTCAATGTATAAAATATTAACTCTGCGCGTACGATAAGTCATATTATGATTGTGAAACTGACTGCAAAAACTAAACTTAAAAGATTTTATTACTCATTTATTTTTAGTTGAATCGCTAATATTATGACCGAAATTTGTTGTGTCATTCATTTTTACTCACTATTTCATTCTATTAAATTCTCACAAAAGCCTACTGTTGAACATAGCCTGCCTCCATAGTCGTCTCTTACGGGCTAAATATACAAATTACACATACGCACTGTAGATCTATAGTCTGTGTAACATTTGTCAATAGTAAAATGAAAAAAAAATTACCTTAACGCCGTAGAAATGTAAGCACATTTTGTTAATCATCTTAAAGCCGTCCGTTGTCTTAACATATTGCGCCTCGCCCTGCACTTGTATCTGGCATGTGACCTGGAAGTGGTTCTTCTTTTGGCAGACGAATGCCTCGTCGATCTGCGAGTAGTTGAAACCTTTGTCCGCTCCAACCACGTAGGAAGGAGTTGGGCTGCAATGATATTGCTTAGTGACTACAGTAGGATCATATTACGATTTATATTTTGGAACAGTAGTTATTTGAAACTAGCGCTCCGCCCCGGCTTTGCACGGTAGATTTCTGGATCTCGACAATAACGCAAATTACCAATTTTGAATCTAACCCATTCCCTAATCAACTTACACACACAAAATTACATCAAAATCGGTCCAGCCGTTTAGGAGGAGTTCAATCACATTCACACGGACAGAAGAACTGTATAATATTATACAATATGCATTTGCAGATTCTCGGTCTTGCCACAAGGTTTTATCAAACTTGTTTAGTCGTTGAGAAAATGGAATTGACTCGAGAAAATTCATGAGCGATGATTTATTATGACTTTCGAACTGGTTTAACACAAAAAAAAATGTGTTGACCGGATGATTTCTGCATTTGGTGATGAAGCCCCATCCAAAACCACAATTTATAGCTGGTTTGCTGAATTTCAACGTGGACATGTTAAGCTCAGTGATGATCCCCGTCAAGGTCGTCCAAAAACTGCAGTCACCCAAGAAAACGTTGATGCTGTGCGTAAGCTGATTGAGGAAGATCGACATGTGACATACCGCGAAATTCAGGCAACTTTAGACATTGGCATGAGTCAAATACAAATAATCTTGCATGAACAATTAGGTGTAAAAAAGTTCTTTTCCCGATGGATACCACATTCGCTCTGTGAAGAGCAAAAAGCGGCTTGCGTTACTTGGTGCGTCAGAGCTCTCGAAAGATTCCACGCAGGATCCTCAAATGCTGTATACAACATCGTATCAGGTGACGAATCCTGGATATACGCGTACGAACCCGAAACAAAAAACCAGTCACGAGTTTGGGTGTTCGAAAATGAGTTAAAGCCAACAAAAATTGTTCGTTCACGCAGTGTTGCAAAAAAAATGGTGGCCACGTTTGTCTCCAAAACCAGCCATGTTACGACTATTCCTCTTGAGGGACAAAGAACGGTTAATGCAGAATGGTATGCTAGCATTTGTTTGCCACAGGTCGTTTCTGAACTCCATAAAGAGAACTGCAACCGCCGGATCATCCTCTATCACGATAATGCGAGTTCTCACACCGCAAACAGAAAAAAAGAGTTTTTAGAGCAAGAAAACATAGAATTATTAGACCATCCGCCGTACAGCCCCGACTTAACCCCTTATGATTTCTATACTTTCCCTAAAATAAAGAATAAATTGCGTAGACAGAGATTTTCATCACCTGAAGAAGCTGTGGACGCCTACAAAACGGCCATTTTGGAGACCCCAACTTCCGAATGGAATGGTTGCTTCAATGATTGGTTCCATCGTATGGAAAAATGTGTCAAATTTCGCGGAGAATACTTCGAAAAGCAATAAATACATTTTTAAATAGTAATGTTGTGTCACTTCCTTGATTCCCGAAATTTTCAGTGCCGCGCTCGTATTATACCTTTATCCTGAATCATTATCGCATCAAAATGTGTTGCTTAGTTTAAAAGATGTAAGCGTACAGACGGCGGGAAGCGACTTTGTTTTATACTAGACACTGAAAGTTTTTAGAACTGACCACTTGTAAACGATATAATAAAAAAATAAGTTCAAATTTTGAAAATGGAACTCTTTGCCAATATTAGGTGTAGGTATGTATTTTATTAATTTGTAATTTGTTTACGATTTGGCGGCAAAATGAAAATTGTGTGTCACGTCAGCATGAATTTAACGCGAGAAAATTTTCGTACAATGATGTTTTATAACGTTCGATGTTATTTAAGTCAACAAGAAAGTTATGACTTCGATTGGCCTTTCACGATGAAGCCCCATCTCGCGCCACTGTTTATCGGTGTTCATTTGTGAGGATTTGTAGTCTATCAAATCTGATGTGATGGCGGAGGCTCCTGTACGTGTTCAAAGACATGCTTTCCCTATTTGGTAGTATAGGTTTGTAGATCAGACTTAAAATTAATAGTTAAAAAAATATAAATGGACTTCAAATATAAGTTTATGACGCAATAAATCAACACGAGTTTTAAAATTAATGATGTTTGGATTTATTTTTTCACTTGTGCTAAATACCTTCTTTTAACTTGAAATTTCAAGGTTGCTCAAGTATCTCAAAAAATGTCTTGACGCACGGTTCACAAAGATATCCTAAAAGGGTTCTGATTTTGTGTAACGAAGACTGGAACCGTAAAGCAATATTACTATTAAATACATTAGTACTTTCATTACTCACAGCGGTTTAAGATTACAGTCGTACAGTAAGTGCCAGGAAGCCTGCTGGAAAGGCGCGAACCTGATGCATTGTAATGGGGCATCATCGCCTGCCTCAGAGCCGTCCACTGATGGCGGCGCTGGTCGCACACTATGGTTCACACTTTCTGGCGATAATGCCGCTAGAGGGATAAAAAAATATAATTAAAAGGACAATGTCAACTTTTTATCAGTAAAGTTAAATTATACTCGTAGTTGACAAATGTTTGTTATTCCACAAACCAGTAATAACCACACTGCCATTTCCCAGTTAGTACCTCAATATTTGGAAACGAACATACTTAACGTTTCCTTTCCATGGGTCACAGCATCCACATTCCATCAGCTTACTCGTTTGGCACATTTATATTGCTCATAGGGGGGAAATTTGCCATAGTTGACTGGATTAACAGGCAGGTTAGTTTTTATTAGGAAAATGCTGCTGCTAATCTCCTTTTTCAGTTTTCCTCTGTAGCCTCTTACGAAACCTACGTGATGATGTTAGGTAGTGGATTATCTTAGGTCTAAGCCGTTACATATCAGACACAAAAACTGACTACATTTATATTATGACAGTTACATTTAGAGTTATAACAGTGGAAACGATCTCTTATTATTATTCGGAATTATATTGCAATGATATTTGTATCTCTCTACCTGTTTATGATTTAAATATCTATAAATAAGTTAAGGCCATAGTAAATTTAAGTGTACAATATTGAATTAAATGTGTTGTTTAACAGTTCAACAATTTTTTATCATTAAATTAAAAACAATGTACCTGGCTCACATTTAATATCCTGTGAATGTTTCCTCTTCTTCCCACTGGGTTCTTGAAGGTTGGTATACACAGGCGTCAAAGTGTCTTGGTCTAGAGCAACCAGCTGTGGGTTTATCATGCCCTGCTCCATTTCTGGCATTTCGACTCTCATCTGATTGTATCGATTTTGAAACGTAATCGGGTCCAGCCCTAAATCGTGACGCACCGTCCTTATACCCAACTCAACAATGTTGGGGTCTTGTGGTAAAATTACCACGTCGTTAAGATTGGCCCTCAGGACTGCATGGTCCAGGTTATCCGACTTGAGCTCCTCATATATATAGTCGCCATTTTGTTGAATTATCTCGTGAGTAGGAATCGGGTCGTGGACCAGCATGTAATCTGCGCCCAGAGTGGATTGAGAAACCGCTATCGTGTGGGACACTTGTGTCTCTGAGGGACTGTAAGGATTTTCTGATCCGGAGTCTGGTGGACTTTCTGGCAATTGGTGGCCCCTGGAATAGAAATATTTATGAATAGTTATCATCGTCTAACAAATAATCTTTATATTATATGTTACGACGTATTTATAACATACTAGCGATCCGTTAAGGTTTACACGCTAAGGTTGACAATTTGTTATAATATGATTTAAAAATTCTAACATTAATTATTATTTTTATTGTTTCATTTTAATAACTTAAATACGGGTAAAGACGTACTTAAATAATCCATAAAAACATAGTCGTACCCTATCGGTTACCGAATGAGTTGGCAATTTGCCGCAGTTGCCACTCTTGGCATATACCGCAGCTTTTTTGTTATTTTGAGTTGTTATCAAGATGATGCTGTTGCCCATCTCCTGTTTCAATTTCCATCTGTCGCCTATTATGACACCCACGGGACGATATGGGGTAGTGGATTATCTTTCGTCGCCAAAATAGCTTTTTTATAGAATATGGGTGACAAACGAGTGCACAGTCTACCTGATGGTAAAAGGATGCTGTGTCCCATAGACACAGTTACCCTCGATTAAGAATCAAAATGCAGACGTGTTGACCCCGGAGGACTAATATGGAATGCCTCGTTTCCAGTAAAAAGGGTCTGCGGTTCTCTACACTCACCATACGAAACACAGCAGCGTTAAGCTGCTATTTTACTTACGCTGATATTCTGTGAGACGTGCTACAACTATACCAGTAATATAGCTGCAGCATGGCTCTACCACGTGTGTGTAAAACGTGTGTGTTTGTTTTATAGTATATACTAGCTTTTTACCCGCGGTTTCGCTCGCGTCGACAGGTGGACTGTGTGCTACTTTGTTACCCTCTTCCTATAAAAAAAAACACATATCCAGACGTTTTTGACTATGCGAGAATATAATGAAGTATTAAACAGTTTTTATTACCCGATTCGGCGTGCATCAAGCGGCTGTGGTGGATAGCAACCTTCGCCGACGGGGGCCATGAACGCCTCCAACTCGTCTATCAGTCCCGGACCTGAAAATAAGAAAAGTAATTTAATAAATGATTCCAATAATATATTTACATACAGTACAATATAGTAATATACAGACGAACATAAAATGATATAAAAGAATGATAATTCAATTCAATTAAAATCAAATTCAATTTAAAAAAGGATTCTAATGGTTAGAATATAATAGAAAAGAATAATTTTTATTCAATATAGCTTATAATAATATTTATTAAAAGTAATTTTTTACTTTTACCCCTGGTTTGGAAAAAAACCTCTCCCAGTCTCTTAAACTTTTTTAAGGAAAGGTCCTGCATGTTTTCTGGGACTTTGTTGTAAAAGCGTATATATTGCCCCATGAAGGTATTGTTACTATCTTGGGGTTCGAGACAAAAACTGCCGAGTGAATTACCAAAATTGACACTTTAATTACAGAACACTAATTACATTTTATAACCACACTAATAATAAAACTGTATATAAAACTGTATATATACAATTGTACTACTGATCACTTAAGTTCGCAGTTATTTCGCTTCGAAGTATTCTCTTGTATCACCGATTCAATACTGACTTGGTTGTGGTCTACACCGGCCTTATATAGAGGCTCAGAGTTTCCAGAACCTTCTACTGTAGAAACATCTAGAATGTTCGAGTACATATCGGTCCCAAAATTTCTAGAATGATCTTGACTCTCCTAGTTCTGCTAGTCGATACTAGAGGGCGCTAGTGGTAATTAGTGTTGCCATGTACAAGACATTAATAGTGGCACGCAACACTGCCCCATCCTAAGACAAGCTCGTCCAGAGCATTATTGGCCCCATAATAACGCGCCAGTCAATCCACATGGACAATCTTAGGAGTACCTCTTCTAACATCAGTCAGCACTCGCCAGTTTCCCTGATGCTGCTGGGCGGTGCTGTTAGCCACACTACCCTCTCGAGATCGAGCACCTTCCCTTTCTACAGTTCGCTTAAGGCAGCTGGATCGAAGATGGCCCCTTTCCCCACAGCCGTAGCACCTAGGGCTGTATCCTTTACTGCGGTCGCGAACTGTAGCCGCTGCAACCTCCCTGACGCGATAGGAACCATGATCTTGTCGCACCTCCAGTGTATGGGCCAACGCGTCCTTAAGCGTCTCGTGGTGCTCGAGCCTCACAGCAGCTCTGACTTCAAGGGCGCAGATGCCGTCGATGAATGTCTGCGCACCAGGTTCCCTACAATGAGCGCAGGTATGCTTTTCGAACCAGCTTCTCCACCTCAAGGGCCCACTGCTGCAGGTTTTCGTTGCTGCGTTGCACACGATCTTTGAGCTGCGCACGAAAGACGTGTTCCAGGTGAGCGTCGCCATATCTCGCCTCCAATGCCTCAAGGAGCTGCTCATAAGTCACTTTCTTACCAAGAGCTTCCAGAACAGTTGAGGCCTGGTCGCGCAGGCCTAGGGTGAGAGCAGTCATGGCCTGACTTTTATTCTAACCGTTCGCCTTCATGGCAGCCTCGAACTGGATTTTGTAGGCCGACCAGGAAGAAGTCCCGTCGAACGGTGGCACTTTGAATCACGTAGGGAAGGTGTTGTAGCTACCACGGGAGCTGTAATTCCATCGCCAAGTTTGAGGTCGTCCAGCGTTTTCTTCACATCAGCCATCACATTGTCAACCCGATTGTTCACTTGGTCGATTCGGGTTTCAGCAGCCGACAGGCGGTTTTTATGTTGAGAAACCCTATCCTTCACTTTCCTTATCTCTTTCCCGAAGGTAGCGTGAAGGTCCTTCATGAGGAGCATCTCCTCTTCCATACCGCGCTGAAGCTTCTCTTCCAACCGACGGACCTGTTTCTCCTGTCGGCGGGCACGTTCCTCCTGTCGGCGGGCCTGCTCCTGCAGCATCATCATCAGAGCACCTAAGTCAGGTGCTGCAGATGCAGGAGCTGGTGACTGGCCGGCCACCGTGGTCGGCAGCTGGCCCTCCGACGTTTGCGGCGTTGCATTACCAAATCGTCTCTGGTCCGTCTCCAGCTGGCATTGACTTCTGGTACGGATATCCTCCATGTCGTCCTTTGGTAAAATTGGCATGATTTGATCCCACTTCTGACACCAATTATTACGAGCTTGGGGTTCGAGACAATTAAAAACTGCCGAGTGAATTAGCAACATTGACACTAATTACAGAACACTAATTACAATTTAAAACCACACTAATAATAATACACAATTGTAATACTGATCGCGTTAGTTCGCAGTTATTTCGCTTCGAATTATTCTCTTGTATCGCCAATTCAATACTGACTCGGTCGTGGTCTATACCGGCCTTAGAGAGTTTCCAGAAACTTCTACTGTAGAAACATCTAGAATGTTCGAGTACATATCGGTCCCGAAATTTCTAGAAGGATCTTGACTCTCCTAGTTCTGCTACTCGATACTAGAGGGCGCTAATGGTAACTAGTGTTGCCATGTACAAGACATTAATACTGGCGCACAAGAATATAAATTTTTTTAATTCCCGACATTTTGGGCACCTATAGCACCCATGGTCACGGACAAAGAGTACCTATATAATCACGTCACGGGAGGGGACTGAGGTGTTTTAAATACTGATGTCATAGTTAACAAAGGCTAACTTCAAATTTTAAATATTAAGTTTTAGCACGATTTTCGCAGCACGGAAATTATAAGAGCTAAAATTTAATGCGATAAAATCCGTAAAATGTGTTCTATTCAATACTCATATGAAACACTAGCTGTTCCCCGCGACTTCGCTCGCGTGTTAGGGTTTTTAATTTTTTGCGCGGAACCCTAATTCTTTTTCTAAAAGTAAAGCTAACTAAAAAGTAGCCTAAACTACTCCTTATGACATCAGCTATCTGTCAGTGAAAGTCCCGTCAAAATCGGTCCAGCCGTTTCGGAGATTAGCCGGAACAAACAGACAGACAGACAGACAGACAGACAGACAAAAATTTTAAAAATTGTATTTTAGTCATAAGTACCGTATTTACTTTCACATGCATTTAGTAAAAACCGGTTATTTTGATATTACAAACAGACACTTCAATTTTATTTATTTGTATAGATTAAAACGAATACGTTGAAATAGTTAAAATAACAGGCGAGTAAAAATTGTTTACACAAAGATTAAATCACACCGGCGCGGCGCATCTAAGCGTAACGTTAACAGTATGCTAGAAAATACCTACGCGCGAATTCATTTCATCAATTATTTTTAGGAATGTTACATCACGATGAGTCCACCAACACGCACTGAAGTAGCGTGACGGACTAATTTCTACATATGATAACCCTCTCAGAAATAAGAGGCCTGTGACCAGAAGCGGGACATATAGATAAGCTGTAACGCTAACTTTTTACATGATAAAGTAAATTAGAATAAATTAGCATTTTCTTTCGTTTGATATCTTAATATAATAAACACATAAGAAACGTATCTGTTTCCCAAATATCTTAGATCAGATTCGTAACCTGTAACACAGTTTTCAACATAACATGGGCCTTATGGCGCGTCTCCACCAAAGTTTTGTTGTCTACACAACATTTGTCAACGGTTGAGGTTCTTCTAAAATTTTAGCAACAAAACGAAACAATGTCGGGAATCGTGTTTCCATTTTCGGCGGCAACATCAAAGGAATACGCTTGTTGCCGACATTTGTTCCCTCGGTGGAGACGCTTCTTGCAACATTTTGAAACATTTTCGGAAACAAATGTCGTCAACTTTTGTTGATTTGTCAACAGTGGAAACAAATGTTGTCAACATTTTTGGTGGAGACCCGCCTTTAGAGTTTCAATATAATTTGTTTCAAGGTTATAAGTTATGTGAGAAAATAAATATTATTAGATATTCACTCATTAGAGCCTATCAAAGTCCTCTGCTGAACATAGGTTTCTCCATTAGATTATGTCATAAGGAGGATAGTTGCTATAGTTGCCACTCTTGGCAAGCGGGTTGGCAACCAAAGTGTTTTATTTTCTAGTTATTATTAGGAAGGCGGTGCTGCCCATCTCCCGTTTCTTTTCCCTCTGTCGCCTCTTAAGACACCCATGAGACGAATATTACAACGTGTTACACATTTTTCTTATTATCAATCCGTAAAAGTCCACTGCGGAAGATAAGCCTCTCCTCATGCTGTAGGGAGGGTTGCCAGATTGGCGATCGTAGTACAAAACACCACGCACATTTGACGTTGCTACCTGCCGCCGGTTTGTGCATTTTACGCCTGGCGTATATTCAGCCACTTCGAGACGTCTGAATAAGCTAAAACTCTGTAGACGTATTCAAGGACCGACGACATGACAATACAATAAATTCATAACTATGACCTAGTATTTTTATTAGGATCATCACAGCTCATGTTCATGCAACGAATACGAATACGAATATTCGTATTCGCCAAATAGTAGACATTTACCGAATATTCGTATTCGGCGAACACTAATCACGAATATTTAAAAACCAATATTTTTGTACGCAACTCTAATTACTGGCGGACTGGATAACGCGCGTCGTCGGCGCGTAAAAAATATGACGTGTGTTTTGGCCTTTAGCCTCAACGACGGGGGACTCCCCGACTCCGGGAGTTTCCCTATCATTACGAACCGTGGATTGATTGTCATTGATTCATTTCATTTGACAGTCGAACGAAAGCACAGGTCAAGCAAGAGAGTATTGTTTAATCTCTCTTAAATTAAATGTTTTGTGAGGTTGCTGCGAAGTGAAAGAAAGACATTGAAGTTTAAATGTCTTCTCGTAAACGAGATCAAAGTGACATATGGAAACACTTCGATAAATTACCGAGTAAGTAGTTATATAGTCTGTATTTCATTTGTATCAACAAAAGGTAGGTAAGTAATGGCTGCCTTTGTAGTACTAGACTTTGCCTGCGACTTTGTCCGCGTAGACTTCGGTTTTAGTAACTTTCTCTTCCCACGGGAATATTGTTTTATTTTTCGGGATAAAAAGTAGCCTAGGTATTAATCTGATGTATAAGTTATCTGTTATCTCTATTCCAAACAGACA